ATCCTCTAAATGTCATCTTCACAGGGAAAATGTTCCATACCTGATTGGTATGTTCTTGCTCAAAGTGGGCTGGAAGCATTTTAAATAGGCTGGCATGCAATATCAAAAGGTGAAACACACTGGATCCAGAGAGGTTAATTCTCCTCTGCTTCAGTTTTGAAGCATGGTTGCATTCTGGAAAGCCCCACACTCATTTTCTACACCATTGCTTTCCAACATATAAACTCTTTATTAAAATAAATAAGTGTAGGAGGATTCGCCTTCTGGAACCAGAAATCTTTTACTCCCTGATTCTTCATAATGGTGTATTTATAAAACACATGTGTCCCGTTTTGGGGCAATTTAAAGTTTGCCTAGTACATAAATGCATCATTAAAGCAGCTGCTCACAATCTGTTAGTATAAATATTTTCCACTCCTTTCTGATCGTCGGGAAAGAAGGCCAAGGCCAGAGCTGTGGCTCCAAGAGCCCACGCTGGAGGTGCTCACAACCATGTTCACATGAGTCCTCCAGGACCGAGCCCCGCTCCCACAGCTCCCTTCCAGCCTCTGGGAATGGCTGTTCTGCACCTCTTGGATCCTTCCAGAAAAACAAAATGTGAAGGATGCAGCCCAGATTGTGCAGCTCCAAAACCAACTGATGCTCCCTGCCTGAAAGCAGCAGGTCGAACGCAGCTCACATGCAATGAACATCTCATCACCTACAGATGACATCCTCGTTCGGGACCAGCAGCACCCGAGGGGTCCAGCCTGGAGCTGGGAAGTCTCCTCCTCCCAACAGATCCCTACCAGCCCTGCACGAAGACTTGTTCACTGGCCCAAAAGGTCTGTTTGACTTTGAAAAATTATTCATGCCCAGAACGCCAGTCTGCGAGGGATCAGGAGGCTCAGTTCCACCTTTCATTAAACCCTTGCCCTTCTGCAATAACTGCAACCAAGCCAGCAGGGTCGCATCGGATTCATCCTGTGAGCGGGGATGAAATCTGAACCGCAGACTCAGACCATTAATCCTGTTATCTGGCTGCCTCCCTGCATCCATCCAGTGAGGAGGAAGCCTCTTTATCGCAGTTCTGTGCCTCATGATGAAATAATTCAAGTGGATTAAATCAGCTCTTTGGGTGCATCAATCACACCATTGTCCCCGTTGCAGGAAGTTTCCTCCTCAGCCTTTAGCCACCTCTGCCCTGACCCATATTCCAAGGACTTCCCTGCACATTTCATTTGTGCCTGTGCTTTTGCATTTACTTACACCAGCAGCTGTGTCCTACGAGCAGGAGCAACAAGAAAAGCTAACAAGCAATAAAGTCAATAGCTCTTAAAGTTACATAAGGTCTAAGAGATGCAGAGAGAGATGCCAAGCACGATTTCCAACAGAAGCACCTTATAATTCACTGAAATATAACTAAGTGGGGTGTCTTGGAGCTCTCACAACTACCACTGAGCACCTGAATTGAAGCCTCATGCAGGGGCCTACATTGGAGCATATAAACAGAGAGGGAACAACTGTTTATGAGAGTGGATGGTGATAGGACAAGGGGAAGGGTTTTAAACTGAGACAGGGGAGGTTTAGGTTGGATATTAGGAGGAAGTTTTTCACACAGGGTGGTAAGGCACTGAAACAGGTTGCCCAAGGAGGCTGTGGATGCCCCATCCCTGCAGGCATTCAGGGCCAGGCTGGATGTGGCTCTGGGCAGCCTGGGCTGCTGGTTGGCGACCTGCACATAGCAGGGGGTTGAAATGAGATGATCACTGTGGTCCTTTTCAACCCAGACCATTTTATGATTCTACATCTTCAATAACGTGTGCTCTCAGTAACTCTAAGACTTGGCCAGGACAAGTTCTTGACATCTCCAAGGCAAAATCAGAGCACAGTATCCCATGGAGCAAAGCAGCAGGCAGCATTCTGTCTCCGCAGCTCACCACAGTGTGTGCAAGACCTGGGAAACCCAAGGAGCATGACAAACAGAAAGGCAACAGCAACCACATCTCTATGCTAAAACTGTTGAAAGCTTTGGGTTCTCCATAAGATAAGCTTTCTCTCCTTAAACTGTCTCTTGCTACAAACAAGGGCAGAACCCACGTGTTGCTTTTTAGCACAGCTGTGATACTGTCAGAGATGACATAGGAACAACTTTTTCCTCATTGTGCAGGGATGCTGCAAGGATTGCAGGGTGAATTTTGGGCTCCTCATTCACCCCCTCTGAGCTCAGGGAATTCGTTGCTGCTGCTTAGCAGAGATGCAGCGCTGGGGGACTCCAGGACAGGGAAGCAGAAAGGATCCATCGTTTGGATCACTGGGCTTTGGGATCTGGGCACGAGAACCATATGGTAACAGAATAGGGATTTCCATTGCATTATTTACTCACCCATACAGAAATAAACCACTGCTTCCTTGCATTAGCGTTTTCCAAGAGAGCAGTGAGAAACATGACAAAAAAGCATTCCCATTTAAATTTGTGCTCTTTTTTTTTTTTCCCTCCCTCTCACAAACACTCATTTGCTTGGAGCCTCAGGTTAACAAAAACCACAAAACCCTACTTTGCCAAAACCACAACGTTTTCCTTGATTTGGGGTCAAAACTGACAAGTTCTGCCTGTTTTCCTCCTGCAACCATCAATCTTCTCAGGTTCAATCTGAGAGCACCTCAGCTACGCTGAAAAGTTCACAGACCTGGCACAAGGAGGGGATTTATTATTAAACCTGCCAGATTTCAGATTTGATTTACGACTCTTTCATACAGCCATGTTATCGAGTACAGACAGGCCCTGCAGTGCATGCTGTGAGGCGTTCATAGAGCTGTAAGTGTCAAAGCCAAAAGGGACCACTTAGATCTGGGCTGACCCCTAAATTAATGCAGAGCAGTCACTCCTACATCTACCCACCAGGAGCAGGGCTGGAGCTTTTAAATAATACTGCTATACTCTCTGTTCCTGCACCTCTCTGTACCTTCTCAAGGCTGCTAGAAACAGGAAGGACCCCACAGAGCAAAGCAGAAGGAGCACATGCCATGCCCTGCTGTTCTCATTGCAAGAGTAGTGCAGAAATTGCAGAGTGGTTGCACTGGAATGGATGGAAAGAAAAATGGATGGATGGAGGATGAAGCTCCCACAAGCTGATGGCACGAGGCACCCAGCACTTCTGCAGTCTGGATGCTGGAGAACATCCCCAAGGGTGCTAAAGAAGCCTGGATTACAAGCACTCTACTTTCTCACTGGGTTTTCACCAGTATGGATGCCCACAAGCCCCAGCATCAGAGCTGTTAGCAGCTTTAGTTTACCAACCATCACCAAACACTGGTGGGATCTCAGAACTCACTGTTTCTTCTCACATCTGTAAAGAAGCAACAAAAACACTTTCTGACTTTCTGTCCCCATATGGGTGGGACATGACAACATCTCCCACAGAAACATGATCTGTCATCCAACATCATACGAAACATCACAACCAGAAATTTACTTGTCACCTACTGGCACCATCATGACCTCAAAGATCAGAAACTGCTGCAACAAAGTGTACCCAAGGGCTCCCAGCCAGCTGTACTGCATGCTATGCAGGAAGATGGAAAATACAACACAAATTCATTATTCCTGTCAATACAACCCATACCGGAAACAAAAATCAGGGGCAACTGACATTAACCCAAAAGATCAACCTCTACTCATGCAAGCTTCCAGAGACTGCAGCAAGTGTGCAGAGGAAATAGCAGAAACTCTGCACAGGAAACCCTAACGCTTTGTCACCATGCCATATGTCCTGCATAAAATGGTTGATATTTTCTTTTTGTCCCTGACTTGCAAGGCAAGGCGACTGTTACATTATTTTGCATACATTTTATACATTTATTTTATGTATGCCTATATATGTGTAAATATTTATTTTACATTTTAAACTCCAAAGATGTCAAAGGCAATCTGCAGAGACGAGGGGCGATTTACTGCCAAGGCTTTGGGAACGGTCCCACGGGCCCCATTTGCAGTTATAACAACACATTTTATCTCTGTGTGAGCAGGAAGGGGGGTGGGGGGGTGTAGCACAGCAGAAAGGCGGAAGCAAGCACTGGCAGTGAATCAGATGATGTATATTAAGGAGATAATAAGCACAGATTACACTCTTGGCAACCGCTGCGCACCATGCCCTTGGTTTATAAAGCCCAGGTTTCCCTGCTGGATTACTTGCTGTTCCACAACACCATAGGTAGTTAAGGGTTAAAAGCCCATCCTGATAGGAAGCCAGGGCACAGCCAAGCTCTCTCCCGTTGGTTTCGGTGAAACTCTCATCCGAAATAGGTTCAGCACAGGCTGGCAGAGCACTTCCATCCCAGCCTTCACTGAACAGCTTCAGAGGACTCTAAATGCTGCACATCCGGCACTCAAAGTGGGTGGCAGGCCCTACTGCCAAGTTTTCATGTTGGAAAGAGCCATTCCAGCACTTTTTATACATATATATGCATTTTTAGGCAAACAGCTGCATGGCAGACACCCACAGGAGCCGCTCACCAACCCCAGCTCAGCACCCTGCTCCCCAGGTAGCACGGTGTCATGGAAAAACAGCCCTGTGCTGATGCAGCTTATTTGGGTATTGCTGGTCTGGGTCCTAGCTAACCTGCTCGCTTGTTCCTAAATGCCTGGAAGCTTGACCCAAATGATTGTTTAGACTCAAAGTTGCTGATGCTGAGAAAGTCTGGATTTGACAGCTTTTCTTAGTGGAAAAGCAAAAATACGACCTACTTAAAACTGTTCTTACAGTTGTGCTCCTTGTTCCCTGTCAGACACAATGTCCAAAGCTTTAGAAGTTACCCAAGCTGCTCAGTGCTGGATTTCATTTCTTAGCACTGAGAACCACAGCCCTGGCTCCCTCCAAAAACTGAGGAACTTCAAAAGAACAACACTTGATTCTAAAAACATTTGGTCTTTCACCACAGCGGCTCACTCTTTTTATTCAAATAAATGGTCACAGACTTCTATTTGCTTTTGCAGACACCGGCGTTGTGCAAACATCACCCAGCCCTTCTCCTGTGGCACTTAAAGGTTTTCTTCCAGCAAACCACGGTGCCATGGGCACAACAGGTCACAGCTAAATCTGTCAGTGGTAACAAACACGTGGTTTCAATGGGGCCAAGGAAAACATCGTCCCTCCTCTGAGCTGAGGTTTGTCCACCTGGTTGCTTTAATTAAGTCAGGTACAGCTGCAGAAGAAAACCAATGAATCAGCAACTCCCCTCTGCCACCAAACAAAGCACAGAGCAGCAAAGGGGGGGAGGAAGGGAGTAAAAACTCAGAGCGATCATTTTTAGTATTGACTTTCAGTTGGTTTGACCCCAATGGCACAAAGTGTGAAAATAATCAACAGTGAGATCCCCAGCACCCAAAGCTGGGTTTCACCAGTATACATTAGATAGTTAAACAGGAGAAGCCAGAACCAGGAGGTCAAGGTCTCTGGCAAACATCAGGAGGAACTATAATTGCATGACTGGAATGGGAACTTCTGGACCTGCATTTGGTAAAACCATAAAAATGCTTAAGAATTCAGTTAAGCATGTGCTGAAACAATTTGCTCATTTGTTCTAATTTAGGCAGATATTGGACTAATGCTATTCACATTTCTAAAGTCTTCATCTATTACCCATTTCTTTCTAGCTCTCTGGTTGCATGGCTTCATGAATGAGTTTTATCCCAAATAAGTCCACATTCTCATCTGTTCTGTGCATTAATTCTCAAAAGGAGCTTCAGTGGAGGATTTCTTATCTATGCATTCATCAGTTCAAGCTCCCTAGTGAGGTCATTTCCGAAGTTTTTAATAAAAAGAGACTTTTGATTCTCGGGGTCATGTTGCAAATTATATCTTCACTAATCTAGCAGAGGTCGAAAAAGACACTAGAGTCAAAGAGCATTTCTGACTCCTCAACACACGTGTGTCTGTAGGCTTTTAAAAATATACAGCCCTGCTGTTATAAATAGAGCATTCTTCTCTGAGGCCAAAGCTTTCAAAGTTCAGAAAAACATCCTTTTATTTCTTTTTATAATAATTATGTTTCTTCTCCTTGCAATCAGGCTGCACTAAACTGGGTTGAGAGTTGCTCTTGGGTGCAGCATTCCACCTCAGCTATTTTTAGGAGGGTGAACGTGGGCATCAGTATCCTTTCTTTTGTCCAACACCTCAACAGCTCAACTCCAGGAACGTCAGTGAGTGATTCACATAAGAGAATGAAAGCCAGAAGAAACAAGATAACCAGATGAGCACCTGCAAAACCCAGCTTTCCACTGAGTGTGTTTTAAGGACTGGAACACAGGAAGGTATTGTGGCAGTGGCATAAGCTCCACGCACATAGCTGTGATCTATTCCTACACTCAGGCACAAGAGAAGCTGCTGTTGCCCCATGCAGACACCAGGGCTCTTGCAATTTTACAAGAACTATCTGACTGCACAGAGTAATTTTAGAGTAATTTGGATTGTAGCTAAATATTCATTGAAAGTCTGATTTCTTCACATCCCTATGCAGTAAAGGTGTGCTTCAAGGTACACTTGTGCTCAAGACGTCCTTCGAAGAACAGGAAATTTCACTGATTTCAGCATCACCATTTTCCAGTTTCTAGTTTGCAAAACTAAGGCACCAGCCTGCAAGCCTGAACAAATATGACTACACTTCCTAGAATATGCAAGCCCAGCAAGCCCATAGTCCAACTGGAAGGCCTTGGTGGAGCTCAGTCTGCAAATAACAATAAGCCAGCAGCCATCCACACTCACCAGGGCTTACAGCATTCACGTGGGTGTTAGGAAGTAATATCTGCAGAGCAGATACACAAGGAAGGCAATCCAGATGCTGGGGGGGGGAGCGAGCCAATAGGACTGTCAATATCTGGAGCATAACAAGACCAGGGCATCACTACTGAAGGTATTTCTACAAATAACAGGTGCCTATCTGCGTCTTCTGGTTTTCCAGGTGTCTCTTACATCTCCAATACAGGTACTTTGCTGGACAGATGAAAAGAGCCAGGGAGACCTCAGTTAGCCCTCCAGCTGGCCTTGCTATGGAGTGATCTTGTACAGCAATTCCTGCCTCTACAACCAGGATGTCCCCTGGCTTCTCAGCAGAATTTTGCACAGAGACAACTTGTGTGAATACACCTCCAGGCTCTGCTGAGAGGTCTGTAGGATGAACAGGACAATGCATCTGCAGGGCAAGCATACCCAGGTTTCATGAAGATGATTTAGTTCTTCCAGTGGTCATCAGCCTGCAAACAGAACCCACAATGCCTACAAAGTCTTTTATAATACAAAAATTGGCTTGTTTACCACAGATGAGGGTCTGTCGTGGTGGGATTGATCGCAAGGTTTGACTGCCATATTTTCCTTGGGCTCCATCCAAAAATAAGGGAATGCAAATCAGATTTAAAGTGCTGTGTCCTTTTATCTCGCTATCCCTTCTGTGTCAAGCTAAGCTCAGCATGAAAGAAATAACTTTGAATTTTTATATAACTCAAGTGTGTGCACTGCTCCAAAATAAAACCTAGGGCAGTAACAGGACACCTCCAGCTTACTGAAGCGCACATTACTGTTCTGACCTACTAGTTAACTTGAGGTTAAAAAAAAAACCTCTTTTGGAACAGCACATGGAAGGCTTAAGTGCTTTTCGGAACCTGGTTTTGAGGAGCTACTCTACAATGTGATAATGTCCATGCTTTCTCCAAGCTCTTCTGTTCCTGTATATTCGCCAGGAGATTAAAAGGGTGTTGAGTGGTGCTGAGCCTCTTGAGGGGCCATTAACATCACGTGCAGTACTGGAGTTATTTGCACTGGCTCAAACCATCCTTGCCTGCTGATGAGCACACGAGGGTCAGGGGAGGTTGCTGTGATCACAGAAATACTTCCCTCGAGATGCATCTTTCCTCTCCTTTCTCCCAGGACACCTTGGGGCTGTCGGGTGAACCCAAAGCCATTCATCTGAAGCTCTGAGCAACTTCCCCTCCCAGTTATGCTGCCCACCATCTCAATCGATTTGGAACTGCAGTAGCAATGCAAGGACTGCATTTTTGGAGCGATCCTAGCAGAGTCCTTGGCAATACACACCGAGTGTGAATTTTACCAGCCCCAAGACCAGCACTCACTATCCATAAACACAGACCACTTTAACATCCTTTCACATGCTCTGACAACTCCTGTCTGAAAGCACACTCCGTTTACATGACCCCAGAGGCTTAGTTGTTCCACGCAGGTTAATACCCATGGGCAACATGAATCTAATGACTTGTGCATTAGAGGAGTGTGAAAATGAGGAGCTTCTCCTGCCCTAATTCTGCCCTGGCCTGTTCCTCCACTGTTAAGATAGATCAGCAGGCAAGAATACTTCCTAGGCTTAGAGCTAGTGTCTGTATGCAAAACAGTGAGATCACCCCCACCTTAGCAAAGTCTCCCCTCTGTACCTTCTTGCACAAAGCTCACAACAGCAAGGCTGATGCTGGAATATTCACCAGCACCACCACCCTTGGGAGGAGATGCACTTGCCTACCGAGAACCTCAGATAGCAAAAACCATTAATAACCTTCACCAGATACAAAGGTAGGCGAAAAATTCAACATCTCAAGTCCAGAAGAAGGGTGAGCCTCACCCTGGTGGTATTGGGTCCCCCTCCCCCCAAGAAAATAAAAAACACTTAATAGCTTTCAACCTTTGCAAGCCTTCTTCCCAAGCCTTTTCTGCTAAGCACTGACAGCACTCATGCCAGCACCAAGTCTGACACCTCATTCAAAGGCACAGGTTGGACTGTGGCATGGGGCTGATAAAAGCTACTCAGCAACTATTGTTTCCCTGATACTTCACCTTGACATAGCGTTTTATCTACCAAAGACTTCCAGAACCTCTTAGTCTCTCCCTGGCATGTTATCTCCTTCCATAACCTGACCTTTCTGCCTGAGTGAGGCACATACAAAAAAAAGTCAACTTTCCCCCCCTCTTTCTAAGCAGAGAGTCTGACAGGAGATCAAAGCACATGGTAATTTAGCCCATGGAATAACAAAAGTCAATGAGAACAATGTGATGCTGACAGGGAGCTGTGCTGTGCCCCAGCAGGGAGGGTAGCCCAGGGAGCCCTGAGCTATTCACTGCAGTTGAAGAGATGGAGAAAAGGGGGAGAGGGAGTTTGCTCTAAGAAAGTTTTAATTTCTGAAGAGGGCTCATGTTTTAAATCACAAAACCAACAATGTCATTATGTACAGGGACAAAGCCAGCAGTCCCACACCCAAACAAGTTTCCTACTAGCTTGGATAGGTTCTTTGCCTTCCTGAAGGCAGCAAGCCCTTGCCACATCACCCACCAGGAGCGCATTCAGAGCTGTATCACCTTCATGTGCATCAGCTCCTCTCTTTGAGATTCCTTCAGACACACCTTGTGTGAGTGGGAAAATCTTCTTTTGGAATGAGCAAAGGGAAAGCTAGAGGAAAACAGAGAGTTGGATTTAAAAGGTGATGAATCTAAAGTGATGGTGTCCTTGCTCTGCTTCTCCCAGCAGTTTGCTTAGATGGATCCTTGGTTTCTTCCAGACTGGGAACACCTCACCACTACCCCAAAAAGAAGCTCCATAACCACTAAACCCCTTCCACCATGAAATAGGAAAGAGAATCAAATTGCAGGACAGAGTCAAAAATAGCTTCCCAGTTAGCAAAGATCCCAGCCCAGTCCCCACCTCCAGCAGATGGTGTGCTCTCAGCCACGCACGCTTAACTCCATGTGAATTTCTCATCTTACAGGGGAAGGGAGAAAATGACAGCTCTGCAGCTACCCACTCAAGCTCAGGGATTAAGAAGCTACCTCCAATATGGCACACAGAGAGGAGACAAAGCTTTCCTTGGCCCAGCATAGAAGCTGTGGTTTCCACAGTGCCAAAGAGACGCTTCCACCATCACACAGAGCAGAACACAGGAGCTGGAACGCTGCAATGACAGCCCATAGCCAACAGATGATAGTTAGATCAAGTTCTCATCAGCACACATTGCTCAGTCACAGAAACAGCTGAGGCTTTCAGAAAGCCAAGGTCACCCTGGCAGCCACCCCTCTCAGCCAAAGCAAGTGTCAGCACAGAGGTGGATTGAAATATCCTTGCAGGGCCAAAGGACAACTTCTTCATCTGCTGCAAGGAGGAAGCCAACCCCACCTCTGCTACAGATAGAAGTTGGAAGCAGAAACACCCAAACAAAAACCTCAAGCTTAGGACTGATCTGGTGACTTGGACAAAGTTTAGGCAACCTCCTGCTGCTCCCTTGAAGGAAAACACACAGTGCTTGAGCTCAGAGGCCCCACCACTGCTCTCACAGCCATGAACAGAGTTTGTGTTCAGCAGATGGAACAACCAACCCAGAGCTGAGCCAGCCCAGCTCCTGCCAACCCTTTGCTGAGGTTTGAAAACATCAGGTTAATGGTTTTTCACCATGTTTTATTTCAGCATTTTTGCACATCTCAGCATTTTGTTGGCTTTGGCACCCGCCTGGAGCCATGATACCACGAGAGAAGTTGATCTCTCTATGCTTCTGCTCCAGCAAAACCAAGGAGTAGCAGAAACCTCATACAAGTTGCCTCCAATTTCGTGAATTTTCCAAATCTCAATCCAGGCAAAAAGCTTCTAATGAGTTTGGATAAACTCTGGATAATCCTCTGAACTTTCAAGTGCTTCAGGAAGAGAGTCAAATACAGTGCCTGGGACATCAAAAGGTGTCTCAGAATCGTGTGCTCCAGGAATAGTACAAGGATGTGACACCTCTGCAGCCCCATAACTGCAGCCCAGCATTATTTATTAAGATTAAACAACAAGCAAAAAAAAAAAAAAAGAAAACACCCAACCAACCACACACAGTTACTAAACTGATGGGAAAGAAGGGTGACCTCAATTCTCTCAGCATGTACCAGCCTAAACCTGCAGGGGAGTTCACCAACACACAGCAGGAAAATCAGAGCTGATTTATCTAGCAGGTTTAAAGAAAGTAAAGAGTGAGTGACAGCTCCTTTCTTAAAAGGAAAATAAAGAAACATTAACTCCTCTTGTCAAAATGCTGTAAAACTGGCTTTTGACTCAGCACACCATAATACTGCTTGTAAATTGGGTAATTGGTTTGTGTGAGGTCATGAAATTCAACATGCCTACTCTTGTCCATCCCCTGCAGCAGAGTCAGCTGCAAGAGAACACAATACATGGGGCAGCACAGGTGAAGGTACGAAGACACATGTTTCATTCAGCTCATTAATCAGGCCTAAAATACACTTGGGCCATTCACATCCTTAAGTTTATTCATATCTGATATGTTGAAAGCTCTATTCATTGAGAGAAGCCATTGTGTCTATTGCTCCATCTTGTTTATCCAAAACCAGAGCACTCAGCGTGAGCAGCTTCCTCCCACACTCTGCAGCATCCTTCTCTGGTCAGAAACATCCAGCAGAGCTAACCATCATCAGAATGGAGCATTTAGCATAGAGCAATGCTGTGCTGGAAAAGAGAGACAGGCAGATGTTGGAAAGGTGCTAAAGGAGTGCAGCATGAAGCACACAACGTGGTTCAAACACTTGGACACTGGGAAAACTGCTGGAATCCCTCCTGTTTATGTTTCAGACATCTCCATCAAAAAAAGAGTAATTAAACACTACAACTAGGAGATAGAATGATTTGTTTCTAAAGCATCTTCACAGCCTGAGGGAAGCACATGGAGACATGAACCATACTCCAAGGGCAAGGAAGAGAGCACAACATGCAACCCCAACTAAGTGCAGAGGCACTGGAAGAAGAAGTGAGCACAGTCCAGCACTGGAAGGTGCCATAGCTCTTTAATCTCTGTGCAGTTGGCTTATGAATCCAAGGAGAGATTGAGGTAGTGCCAAAAATTAAAAAAAATAAGATCACATCTCAGAAAATGTCCTGCTTGAAAAGCAGAGTCCAGCACAGAGAGGGAATCCCAGAAAACGTGACCACTGAGAAGACGACAAAAATGAAAGAGCTAAACCAAGATGAAAGAACTTGCCCACAGTCATGTGGCAGGTTTGGGGCAGAGGCAAGAGGGGCCTTCCAAATCTCTGTCCATATAACATCTCATTTAGAATCATAGAATTATTAAGCTTGGAAAAGACCTCTAAGATCATCTATTCCAACCATCCACCTCACACCAGTATTGCCCTCTAAACCATGCCCCTAAGTACCACATCTCCATGGCTCTTGAACACCTCCAGGGATGACGACTCCACCAAAAGGAAGTCACAACTCCCTGGATTCTCTGTCCTTTGAGACAAAGAAAGCTAAGAGGAAACAAGAAAACGGTGCTCAAACATAACAGAGCTCAAGGACTTATTCCAAAAAGGACAAACAGTAAATGGAAAGGCTGCCACAAGGGAGATTGAGGATGGATCATAATAAAAGCATTTCCATCGCAAGCATGGCGTGGCCTGGACGTCTGAGTTGATGACATGGGATGTTTGGATGCCAGGAGGAGGTAAATGGTCTCTAGAATTTTCTTCCAGTCTTGCTTGTCTTAAATAAATTCCCTGTAAAAATCAAAATGGAAAAGCGACAGCAGTCTGTCCATGTCTGAAAAGCATAGGGAACCAAAGGCATCCTGCCCTGCCATGGAGGAGGTCAGGGCACCAGATCCTCCAAGCCAGGGACCATGGGAATTCAGCTTCACATTCAGTCCTACTTCACAGTCCGTTTATTTTACATGTTTATTTAACATCTGCATGAATCAAGGCAATATTATTTCACAAAAACAGAAAACTTGGCTTCACTTATTCAAACATTTGGACAAGGAAGGAAGAAAGCCCAGCACAGGATTTGGCTGGTTAAAGAATAGGAATATGCAGTTATTACCCTGTTGTCAGTGATTCAAAAATCAGCCTGATTGGAGGAACTGGATGTGATTGCCATCTGGCAGTTGTTTGGAGAACCTCCCTAGAAGAAGTCACAGCCCCAGCTCAGATCCAAGCAGATAAGAGGACAGGGAGCAAGGCACTGCCTTGACATTTCCTGCAGAACAAGGGAACCAAGTTGGGGAACGTGCAGACCTGGTAGAGATGTGAATGTCACAGGACAGTGCTGCTTATGAGAGATAATTATCAGAACCCACATGGGACCAAAAAAACGTCAGACCTTTACTGAACCCATCCCAGCACACCGGATTTTTACCTGCCTGGCAACTGCTAAAACGTTCAAGTGCCTAGAATGACAAACACCCAGAACAAGGGCTGGTCAGGGAAACGCTGCTCAGTGCTGGGTGGTACCACCAACAGCACAGGGTCATAAACCAGAGCTGCCAGGGTCTTTAAAGCCAACTGGGGTTGTTAGTTTACGCTCCCTCCTCCAAGTAATATTTAAACACTGGGGCAGCTGCAGCAGAAGCTTTACTTTTCCAGATGTTGCCAAGACAGCTACCATCTCTTGCCTCTAAATCAAGGTTGGATGGGTTTTGAGAAGAGATGCTTTTGTCAAAGGCAAGTTATTGGGTTCAATAAGGGATGGAATTCTCTGGCCTGTGCCATACAAAAGGTCACAGCTCAGATGATTTAAAGTCATTTTTGGTCCTGATATCTATGGAAAAAGCTATGAAGCCTCCTGTATTAGAAATGAAAGGAATAAACAGCAGCAAATAATGTAACTGTCAAATGCAGACAGGCTTTGCCTGCAGTATAGCCGTGAGCACAATGAAGGCTCTTTGGCTCTGCTCATTAATCACAAGGATTGTGATTTGTTACCAAGGACTTTTATCCTGCTTTCCAAACGAAACAAGGTTTATGGAGTCATGCTGTATGCACGTGCATGTTTCATCGTATCCAGCATTTGAGCCTGTTATCCACTTTTGACAGGGAGTGGAGATCAGAGATATTAACTTACATCAAGCTTGGCAGAAAAACGACAGTGGGTAGAAGGGAAAGGGTTCAATTAACGTTCCCAGTGAAAGAAAAGCAGAAGCATTTTAAAAATAATAATTAAAAAAAATCCTTCACACACTAGAAAACCCCTTGGGGCAGGGGTAAGAGGTTAGTGATGCCCCCACGAAGGGGAAGTAAGAAGCTTTGCTCATGATTGTCATGCACCAAAGAACCTACCCAGGCAACACTTCTTGCTCGTCCGGATTTTCTAGTGCCTAAGGAGGAAAACGCTCATGGTGCAGTTTTAATACAATTAATAAAACTTGAACAAGCCACCAGACACCACTCAATCGTAAGCTGAGCTCGAGCAGTTTCAGTGCTCACGGAATGACTTTTATTTATGGTTAATAAGCCCCAGCATGGATGGCAGAGCTTCAGAGCATCTAAGAAACCTCTCCATCACACTGCACAGAGCATGGGTACCCCAGGGAGTACAGGTGAACTTGGGCCAGAACCTCTGCAGCCCGCCACATACGTACCCCTAATGAGCAACAGAGCTGTCTGCAGGGCCTGCATAGGCTCCACTGAAACAGAACCTAATTTAACAGCTTATTCTGTCTGTATCCTGCTGCAAAGGGGAATTATAAATTTTACTCTCATTGCTTCTATGCAAAAGTCAAGGTAAAATTTCTGCTGTGACCTCCTCCCCCTGGCTGGCAGGCACTGCTCTCAGTGTTCTAGGGCACAACTCATTCCCAATGCACATCTTACATATATCCCTATATTCAACACTGGTGACATCAGCGTAGCTTGGGAGCAGGCTTTGCTCGTTAGCAGCGGCTGCAGAAGCTCAAGAATGTTGAATGCAGAATGTTGATTTATAGGGGTCCTATAAAAATGACCTACATTTCCCCTTCTGCCCCATCCCTATATATCTTAGCACTAAATTGATCCACTTAGATCAATAATGTCAGAGCATGCACATTCACTCCAGGGCTTTGCAGGACAAGAACACTTCAAAAACCGAAACAAATAACTCTTCAAAATTAAAAAGAAAATCTAAAAATATATATATA